GATGCGACGGTCTGCTGCTCGGTGTGTATCGTGCCAAGTTGAAGCCGACCGTCAACAAATTCGAGAGTTTAGGCTGGCTGACTTTTTACAAAGATGGAGTGGTAGCCGACCGGAAGGTTACGATCTAATTGATATCTTGACAGTAGTTCAGACTGTCAGAGTGGAATTGCAGGACACACTATGGCTAACTAACCACTTTATGGAGGATACAAATGTTCCAGAAATGATCCGTATAGCCCCCGCAATATGGGAAGACATCCGAGACTCGTTGGAAGCAATACTAGTTTCTACTGGAGAGCGAATAAACAGAACCAGAGATATCGATAGCGATACCAGTTCTAATGAAGAATTGCCCTCTGCAGGAACAATCAGTTGTCGTATTTGTTTTGAAAATCTACCGACTATAGTATTAATGACCTGCTGGCACACTCTTTGTAAAAATTGTGCTAATCGTATTGTTAGGTGTCCATTCTGTAGAAAGGCCGTCCTCGGCAGGAAAGAATTATTTTTCTAAGCCCCGCCCTTGCGCTCCCCACTACCCCGGTATAAAACCAGAGGCATCTGCCGAGGGGTAGACACTCTCCGCATCCCCTACAACAAGGTAAATATCGCTGCTGTAGTTTACTAATATAGCTTGTAGTATAAAAATAACAGCATGGGTCCTCTTTGCTATCATATTTACATAGTTCCCATAGTTTTTAGGGATCGACTGGGGATCGAACCAGCAACCTCTAGATTTGAAGGCAAACACTATAACCACTCGACTATCCAGACAAATATTATTAGGACAATATTATTTGGTTTTAGATGGATCTTTCTACAAAGCTGTCGTCTTGCGAGGTGCTCTCTTCCCCTTTGAAGGTCCCCATCAAAGATCTGACCGAGCCGGCGAAAATTCAGTCTGCTAGACGAATCAACACACGATTCGGAACCATAGTGATCGTACTACACATCACCACATCTGCCGGCGAGGAGAGGGTGACATTTTTACCCTCGAGGTTCACCAACCTCCTCACAGACGAGGATCTAGAATTTTTCACAAACTCTAAATTGTATAGTGTTAAATGTACGGGGATGGTGGGGAATTCCCCAAATGTGCTTATTTATAAACATTAGTTTTTAGCATGTAGTTCAGTAGTAGTAGTAGTGATCAGTAGTTTTAACACTTCACTCAATTCTTTATAAATTAGTTATGTGTCTTGCTTGTAGAATAAATATTTGTAAAATTATAGCTGCATTTTCAATTCCAAGTGCACCCTCAAAATAAGGGAGGGGGGTATTATATGGTATAATACTAAGCCAGTTCCTCTGGATATAAGTACGATACGATATAATACCTGAACCTGGGGGTGTCCTTCAGACACTCGGACAGTCCCAAACCCTGTCCTAAAGGGTGCACAACAAGTTTTCTATATACTATTTGCTAGGGACATGGAGGGAAGTTTTTTCGTTTAGCGAGAAGGTGAGGTTTTTTTGTTTGGCGCGAAAGTGAGGCTATGTTACTTAACGGGAATTGACGCGAAAGTGAGGTTATGTCACTTGGCGGGAAGGAGATTTTTTTGTTTGGCACAAAAGTTAGGTTATGTTACTTGGCGGGAAGGTGATTTTTTTGTTTGGCGCGAAAGTCACTAGGCAGGAAGGAGAGTGTTTTTTTTCGTTTGGCTGGAAAGTAAGGTTATGATGTTTGGCGCGAAAATAACAGTGAGGTTATGTTACTTGGCGGGAAGGTGAAGTTGGCGCGAAAATAAAAGTGAGGTTAGACCACGTGGGACACCAGAGAGCGACCACGTGGGACAAAAGGGGGCGTGGCTTAGGGGGAGGGGTGGGGATGAAATGCTGCTCTCTGATTGGTGGCCTGAAGTACAGCGTATCCTACTTATGTTCCTTCTGTTACTCTGTAAACATCGTATTAGCGACTGGCGTCAAGCATGTGAGTCACAGTAGTGGCCTACCATCGTTCATCTGTTTTGCGCATGCCAAGGTCTTCATAGCTTCCTTCCCTTGAAGTAATAGTCACTGCAAGAACTTTAGTTTGCTCTCGTTCCCCAGAACATTTCCTTAAATCTTAATTTTCCTTTAATGTAATACCATTTTCCTGAAACAAAGGACTTTTCAGACAGAAAACGATTATATTTTTGGATTTAGTAAGAAGAATTCAGTAAGGGAACACATTATAAAGCAATTTTCATTAGGTTGGGTTATGATGAACTTTTACCATAAACAATACCTGTATTTCATGACCTAAATTTCTTGAGAATTAATAAATCCTTATTTTATGTACACAAAAGATGCTCAAGTATGTACAAAGCTGAATTATATTGATGGATTAGTCTCTAAAGCATGTATAGGCTTTGGCATTCATCAGCTTGCAACACTTATTGACATCCGACACACTGCATGCTGATCCAACTTTTAACAAATTTAACTGCAATTCATGACTAACCAAATGAATTTGCCAAACTTAGCTTTGTTTTAAGGGGTAATGGTTGTTTCCATACCATATTACACTGTATATAAGCTTGGATCCCTTAGATGAAGCCATGACTAGGACTAGAAAGATCTCTGGTAAATTTAAACCCAATGATTAAAACATGTCAAAAATAACTGTCTATTAATTTTTCACAGTTACATCTTAAAAGATAAATAACTTCAAGCTATAACCTGAAATACACTTAAGTTACACGCTTTCAAAGAATGAAATTGTCTTCATAACAACACAGTATGACGCAAGTGGCAGATGTAATCTAAATATTTATTAAAATCAAATCAAGAATTATATATTTATTATATTTATACAAAATATACTTTGGGATTGGATAGTGAGCTTTTTAAGTTTTAACTTTAAAGGATCTCCTGCAGCCCAAACTTTCCGACTTTTGTCGACAGGCGATACGCTACGTATGCATGCTGATCCAACCTTTAACTAACTTAACTGTAATTCATATCCTATCAAATGAATTTGCCAAACTTAGCTTTGTTTTAAATTTTATAGTTGTATTTATATCATATAACTGTACAAAACCTAGGCTTCCTTAGAAAAAGCCATGAATAAGCTAGTAAGGTAAACGTTTACACTTTAAGATGTTGGTGCTTATCATAAACCACATTTAGAGAAATGCTTCCCGGTAACCACAATTCTAGTTGTTGCCACCACCCAGCTAAATGTGTAAACCTATGCATAAAACGTTTGTAATACCTAGCATTATCTCTTATGTTTATTGTGTGTAGCCTATTAATGAGCAGGTTCTATATATGTTTACATCTGCTTGGGAAGTTGTGACAGATTTTCAAAAATGATTATCCATCAGAGACAAATTTGTAAAACAAAATAAGTTCTGCCAGGAGTGTTCTGCCTATGCTGATATGTGTGAAAATGCTGATTTCCGTTACTTTTGGGGTGAACTTTAAAAACTAAAAGAACGGCTAGAAATGCCATGGGTTGGTACTCCCATAAAGAATTTGATTAAGATGAGACCACAAATGTAGTCTGTTGCACTGTAAACATACACACTTTTATCCAAATAAACTTTTGCACTTGCCATAGAAAGATAAATGAACTAAATCCTAATTACATTTGCAATAATTATTTATAACCGACTTTTACTAATGTAGGTGCAGAGAATTACTGTTCCCAAAATTCCTGAACACGAGGAAAGTTTCATTTTGTATTTCCTTACACTCTACTAAGCATGTTTTAAACACTGCTGTAGTAGTGTTGGCATATAATTCCTCATTATAAATAATATGTTATTGGAGTGCCAGGAAATGATTTAATCTTGAACTGTTCTACATCAAGAAAACTGTATGATTTATAAGGAAAATTCGTGTACTGAGTTGAGTCCGTATTTATAAAACAAACATTTATAGATGTTCTGTAATCACTTTAACGTTAGTTATGCTGCTACTGCTTGTTATAATTCAATGTAGAAGCGCCAAGTAGATGTATGCATGTGGTTTGTCATACCAAGTTATCATTTCTCCTCGGGGAGCGATGCAAACTTGTAACATGACAAACTAGTTTTGGTCTGATTGTTACAATGTAGATTATTTTGGGCTTACGTACGTTAAGCGAATAACTTTATAAACCTTACAAAACATAATACAAAAGTAAACACTCCATACCCCATAAACTCCTTAATCAAATAAAGCAATAAACAAATATTTCAATGTCATTATCGTTATTTAGTTTCCTATTAGTTATCCTTTGGTACACCCTTTCTGACCCTCTCTACTGTTTCATCGTTATGTGTTTACCCTTTTCTAAATAAAATGAAATAAGAACCTGACACGTGTAAAGAGATTATGCAAGGAAATTGAAATGAAGAGACGTTCTCCTTAAGAATAAGTAAAAAATAAAGATTCGAGGTCTGAGATCTGCAATTTGACCTCTCTCAGGTGTGTAAGTGTTTTATAAACATGAGATAAATAGTACAAAAGCCCACCAGATGGATGTTTACAAATTTTGTTCATCGATAAAAGAAATACTTTAAGTAAATGTAAAGTTTCAAACTACTAGTACAAATAGTATAGAGAGGTTAGTAAAGCCAAATTATGGGATAATTTCAAGCAATCGTAAGCCGTATAAGTATCCAATTAGTTTTAAAATTTAAGAAGGATAATCTAAAGAACAATCCAATATAAAATCATAAATCCATATTAGTATCTAATATTCCAAAATATAAACTAAAAACTAACATTGTACAATAACAAAACTGCAGTCATATAACAATCAAAGTACATATGATAGTGGTGCTTATTTGATTGTTATTTTTTCTACTTGGATGGTTGCCGTGACACAAAAGGTGCTACAGCTCACAGTAGGTCAGCATGACTTGGTTAACAAGTTTTCATATTTATTTCAACAGAGGTTAGTAATTCACATCAGTACAAATCAGTGATATTCATATTTATCACTAAAATACGTTCATATTTATTTAAATCCGGCCCCAACTGCTAGTGACATTTGTTGATTATTCCAATGTTGCTTTGTTGTCAAGATGAAGCTGTTATTGTTGTTCACTCTTGTTGCTATGGGCTACGCAGGCAAAATCCTCTACTCTAAGGAGGACGAGTATCAATGGGAGCTCTTTAAGGTAAGGCTTCTTAATATAAATTGATCAAAGAAAATGTATAATTTTATTGGTTTTTTGTTTGCGTCAGAGATAGCTATTATGTAAGAAAGATTAAGTGGAGATGTTGATGATATAATTTAAGTTAGTCCATACCTCTTTGGATACTAAATAAAGCTTCTTTCGGGTAGACTTCCGTAATCCGTATCCGTTGGCACAAACAACCGAATGAAAATACCGATCGATATGTCGAATAAACAATCGAATAATCGATATTTTCATTCGGTTATTGTGCCAACAGATACGGAAATCTACACCTTCTTTCTATAAGTAGTTTCAAAGGGATTTATTCAGTCTAATTTATATAACTATTATATAGCTATTTATATAACTTAAACTAAATCTCCAATTTCAGATTGGATATGAAAGAGTATACGCTGATAAGGTGGAAGAGGGAGGTAGGAAGGCAATCTTCATTTGCAGCCTTCACGATATCCGTGAACACAACCAAGCCTACGATCGAGGAGAAACTACCTTCACAGAAGGAATCAACAATTTCGCTGACTGGGTGAGATGTAAAAATATCTACTTGGTATATTGATCCTATATTTATGACATTAGGACTATGGTATGACCGTATGGGGATGGCTTGCTATTACGGGCCCTTAGTAATATTATAGAACTAGGCTAAACGTTAGATATTTATATATTGCGGCTGTTTACGCTCACAGTACCGGTAATGAAGGAATTAATGAATAGAAAATGTAACAATTGGTAAAAACAAATTACCAGGCACAGGATCAGGCACAATTTTTTTTTATATTTTTTTATTTTTAAAACTGAAACTAGGAACTGGATTTAATAAGTTAGTCAGATATTTTATATTGAACACATGGTTGAACGTAAAATGTTATCAGGCATTATTTGAATAACGCAAACACATAGAAACCACCTTTTCAAGTTCTAAAGGACCCAAAAGAGATATTACCACTCAAGCTCAATCTCCGAATTTTCAATATAACAATATTTTTTCCATAGGCCTACTAGGTATGGGGATAGATAGTGAAAAGGAGAAAATCGAACTTTAACAAAAAAACATTTGCAAGATTCTCATTCGAAGATTTAGCATATCAATTTACTTTATTTGGGCCGTATCGATTTAATGTTAATTCACTTTTCATAAGTCAATGGAATTTTATAAATGACTTAATTGTTTTTAGACCGACGAGGAGATGAAAGGGATGAAGTGATACTGCCCGAGGAGAAGCAGAGCTAAGTAAAGAGGACTGCTGTTGGTGGAGGATGTCTGGGGAAAAAGTCACGTCTGTATGCTTATGGTAAAATAAACGGTCCAAGACCTGGTTTTGTTACTGTTTTATCTCCTTTTTGTTATTTACCATAATTGTAATTAAAATGATGTTAGTCATGTAACTGAGTGCTGTAGACCTTTTTACATCCTTTATTCGTGGCCAAATGAAAAATAGTTCCTGGTCCAGAAACGATCTTGATTTTAATACGATCTTCAGTTTCATCTAAATTTGTGTCTAGATATCGTTGGTTATTTATTCGTTACTATTTGTCACTGGCATATACTGTAACAAAACAATAATAGAATGAAGGAAAGAGCCCTAATATATCCAAAAGATTTTGTTTATAAAAAAATATTAAATTACTGAGAGGCTTTTTGCACTATATTTGTTACCTTTACTGACTTATGTCTGAAGTGAGAGGTTAACAGGTTATTAAAAATATTAAATTAACATTGTGCCTAAAATTAGAGAAAATATAGTTGCAAGAAATATTAAATTAAAACAAAGTGGTGAATTTAAAACACTAAACACTTTGAAGGTTTAAATGTAAGGTATTTAGTATTGAAAATTATGATGATAATATGCATAGTAAAGTGCTTTAAATTACGGTTACTAATATATTAAAAATTACTGCTACGAACTGTCAGGTTATTTAGTTTAAATATACAGAGTGAGTTTCTACTTAGCGTGTTAACTTCGCCAGTAGGTTCTCCTCACTAAAAGGAACAAAAAAGGTCCTATAAACCCATGTCCGATTTTCAACCGTTTGGCTGTAATAGGGGATTTTGTGTTTTTCTTATTTTATTAGACTTTGCTCCACAATTTATGTAATAAAAACTTAACCAATTACTTTAGAGAGTTATAGTTAAAATCATTGAAAAGAATATTAAATTTGCTCTAAATCAAAGGTTTCATTCAACAATTATACCATTACATAGTCCACGTTATATCCAAAATAAAGTAAAAATGTCATTAAATTAATTAATTATGAAAATGTTCATGAGCCCACTTTGATACATAAACCTGCATTTATGCAATGTTGAAATGCAAAAAAACTTGGTCATTTAATGATCTTTCAAATGATATGCTATTCAATACTATTATTGATACAAACCAGTGAGAAATTACTAATAAACTACAATAAAACACGGTTTATAGATTTTGTTTTTGCACAGTTTTACTGTTGATAATGATTACTGTATACTCCATGTTGTATTTTATTGAACAATCTGATAAGATTTGTACATTATTTTAACTTTTAAATATTTATTAAAATTATCTGAATTAATAAAATGTATAAACTCTAGGTTTTTCACATTTTCTAAGATGTAGTGTGTTTGATTCTTAAATGCTGTATAATTAGTTTTACCTTGTGCTTGATTAAGTCAGCTTTTATTGATTTGCCATCTATAGCTAGATAACTCAGCTGCTGAAACATACCTTGTTGAGTAATTTGCTGTTTTAACTTTATATTTCCAAGTCAATTAAGAGTTTTTCAACATTTATTAAACTATGGAGCCTTTTACCAATCAAGAGTATGCCAACATGATGAATACAGTAATTATTATTAACAGTAAAAACTGTGTCAAAACAAAATCTGTAGACCGTGTTTTATTGTAGTTTATTAGTAATTTCTGACTGGTTTATATCAATAATAGTATTGAATACCATATCATTTGAAAGATTATTAAATGGCCAAGTTTTTTATGCATTTCAACATTGCATAGATGAAGGTTTATGTATCAAAGTGGGCTCATGAAAATTATCGTAATTAATTAATTTAATGACATTTTTACTTTATTTTTGATATAACGTGGACTATGTAATGGTATAATTGTTGAATGAAACCTTTGATTTATAGCAAATTTAATATTCTTTCCAATGATTTTAACTAGTTTGAACAGCTGTTATTTAATGGTTAAAACATTACGGCTATCACGGATGTGCTAGAGTAAATTATACCATTATATTTTAGAAACATTTAATTGATTTCTATTGGAGTTTACAACTAAGTTTAACAACAGCTGACTTTTACTCCCCAAAGTACTCAAAAACGTTTTAACTCCCTATGACTATATATTATAGCTCTCTTAAAACATGTTAAACCTTTTTTTTTATTCACATCAATCTTCTTTTTTGTTTAAATATATTATTTCAGTCTTATAAAGGGGATAGGGTCCAATCGTGTTTTAGCAACAACGCTCTGACAGTAGCAGGGTACGAACAGAGTGACGTGACCCTTGGGATAACAAACTTTAAATCGAGTTGGCTGTGATACATCCGACTTGATTATTCTCAAATTCTCTGGTTGAAAGATGAAATGCCCTTCTTTTACTACAAACACATAAAGGATCTTTTTCACTCATATTATCAAAATTTGTATTTAAAAATTCACATGGCATTAGGGCCTACTTAGTTTGTTATGGAATAGTATATGATATGCATTGTATTTATTATTTTAAACATGCAATTTTGAGGATTTTTGTTAATATTATTTATGTGCGATAAAAAAAGTATCCAAAACATATAATTTAATTGAAAATTAAACTACTTTTGATCTAAATTTAACATGCGACTTAAGTTACAATTAGTATTTAAACTATTTTTTAGCTATCACTAACGAATTCAGCAAGCAATGGCACAGTTTCATATATCTTGTGGACTTAAACACGATCTGTTAGTGGATTGCATGAGAACACTGTTAATCCCAATGATGTATGGTTAAACATGTGATTGAAATACAATACATTATGAACAAGGATCATGAGATAAGATCATTCGATAAGTATAACATATTTGGATAGGAGACGATGAGAACAGATTAAGTCCAAAGATGCATTTTAATATTGGTCCTGATTGAAGGATATGTCCTTGTGAAGGACATGTCATATATTATTGAGATCTAGTTACAATGGAGGATTATTAATAGGCATGCAGTGTTGATACGATACTCCCTGGTGTGGATTAACGTCCGCACTAGTGAGTACTACGACTATCCGCAGTACTATCATGATAATTAGACCAATTCGTTAATACCAAGGCAAAAATGTGGCCCAGATTCCACTATAAAAGCTGTAGGTGCATTAGTTGCCATTCGCTGTAAGGATTATTAATTAAGAGCTGTGTATAAGGAATATGTAGGCCTTTATTACTAAAAAGACTACAAGATCGCACCACTCAACTCCATTCATACTTGGCTTAAAATACCTACTTTGTATGGTCGCCATTTCATTGAAAAGTATTAAAGTATGGTTACGATAAGAGATTAATATATTGTACGTGAAGTATAACTACTTGTTATCCTGTTCGAGGTTGGCCTTATCACTGAACACGGGGAGGATATCTCGGCGTAAAGGATTGTAATTTTAAAATCTATCCCAAAATTCAGTTATCAGATGTATAGTTATATATTTAAACTAAATAACATGACAGTTAGTAACAGTAATTTTTAATATATTAGTAACCATAATTTAAAGCACTTTACTATGCATACTATCATCATAATTTTCAATACTAAATACCTTAAATTTAAACCTGAATTTCAAAGTGTTTAGTGTCTTAAATTTACCACTTTGTTTTAATTTAATATTTCTTGCAACTATAGTTTCTGTAATTTTCAGCACAATGTTAATTAAATATTTTAGATAACCTGTTAACCTCTCACTTCAGACATAAGTCAGTAAAGGTAACAAATATAGTGCAAAAAGCCTCTCAGTAATTTAATATTTTTTTATAAACAAAATCTTTTGGATATATTAGGGCTCTTTCCTTCATTCTATTATTGTTTTGTTACAGTATATGCCAGTGACAAATAGTAACGAATAAATAACCAACGATATCTAGACACAAATTTAGATGAAACTGAAGATCGTATTAAAATCAAGATCATTTCTGGACCAGGAACTATTTTTCATTTGGCCACGGATAAAGGATGTAAAAAGGTCTACAGCACTCAGTTACATGACTAACATCATTTTAATGACAATAAATTATGGTAAATAACAAAAAGGAGATAAAACAGTAACAAAACCAGGTCTTGGACCGTTCTATTTTACCATAAGCATACAGACGTGACTTTTTCCCCAGACACCCTCCACCAACAGCAGTCCTCTTTACTTAGCTCTGCTTCTCCTCGGGCAGTATCACTTCATCCCTTTCATCTCCTCCTCGGTCTAAAAACAATTAAGTCATTTATAAAATTCCATTGACTGAATAGTGAATCAACATTAAATCGATACGGCCCAAATAAAGTAAATTGATATGCTAAATCTTCGAATGAGAATCTTGCAAATGTTTTTTTGTTAAAGTTCGATTTTCTCCTTTTCACTATCCATCCCCATACCTAGTAGGCCTATGGAAAAATATTGTTATATTGAAAATTCGGAGATTGAGCTTGAGTGGTAATATCTCTTGTGGGTCCTTTAGAACTTGAAAAAGTGGTTTCTATGTGTTTGCGTTATTCAAATAATGCCTGATAACATTTTACGTTCAACCATGTGTTCAATATAAAATATCTGACTAACTTATTAAATCCAGTTCCTAGTTTCAGTTTTAAAAACAAAAAAATATAAAAATTATGTGCCTGACATATTTTGTATACATTAATTTCTTCATTACCTGTACTGTGAGCGTAAACGGCCGCAATAAATATCTAACGTTTAGCCTATTTCTATTTTATTTATTTTATTTTAGTAGGAGGTTGGTAACTGTAGACTTTGAAGTAGTGAACCCATGCTGACTGTGGCTAATAAGCGGCCTTAGAAATGGCTTAAATGGCTTTTGGACATGCTGGAAGTTGTTTTTGGCGGTAATGTGAAGTATTTTCGCCTTCTAGCTTAGTTTGTTAAACGAATTAGCATTATAACAAATAATATAGTTAATCACTAAAAGGAAAATTGCCTTTCTAACACTCACTCATTTTCTAACGTCGACTGCGCCTCGATTTTGAAACTTAAACCTAGGTCGAAAGGATTCATTTTACGCTCTAGTGATTAAATATTCTATTTCACGACATTCAGTTTCCAAATTTAGGTGGTTTGAGGAGAAGGTCTACCCCCAATAAACGCTAGCTCTCTTTGCTAATTGCACGATGCATATAATTTACGTTTTAGCAAACCTTATGTTAAGTTTCTCTTTCATAGGTAGAGGTGAAGGAAATGGATATCTTCCTCTAAAACCACCTTAATTTTTGTAAAGTTTAAATTATTATTATGGGGTATAATTATGATAGAAAATGTCCACAATCACCCTACAAATACTTAATGAAAAAAATACATAAATTGACTCCAAACAAAGGACTGCACTTTAATTACAATATCTAATGTATTTATTTCTGTGTACTGTACCTATTAAAAAACCTTACTTTGTTAAAGCTTATGTTTGATTAAAGGTTATGATCAGCTTCAATGATTGACAACAATGAGCAATTTTACTTGCTGTTAATCCTTATAATGGGAAATAAAATTAGTTACATTGTTGAGCTAACGTAGATTTAATTAGCTTTTTCATTAGTCAACTGATAAACTCATCACGACTATAAATTTGTTGCAACAAAAAGTCCAGTTATCTTGTACTTTTGTGACAACTAAGGTAAGTTATTACTTAGTCTTATTGTTATTCAATTGTAACAATACATAAGCTTTTAGGTGCAATTCCCACTACGCTTTAAATCAAAGTATGATCATTATTGTTAATATGTTAAAGCATTCACCCTATAATAAAAACTATTTCAACTTAATGCTCTGAGCGAATTTAGTCTTTAATTGAAAATTTTAAAATCGATAAAGTGTATGATTTCAAGCAAACACATTTTGTAATGTTCTCTTATTGGTAAATAGTTCAAGTTTCCAAGCCACAATTTAAATACATAAGTACATTATGACTCAACTAGTCTGTAGTACGTGTTGGCCTGTAGTCTAAATCAGGCCAGAATAAATAATTAAATATTGTTATATAATTAATAATGTTTCATTAGTAACATTTGTTTCAATGAAATTGTTTATTTTTTTTACTTGCATAGTTTATTTTTCTTTATAAGAGTTTTTAATATCAACCTGTTGCATGCAAACATCAAACGATGCAACAGGTTATACACTAAATGAGAAAAGGTAAACTTTCGATATATTATTAAATTAAAGGTAATGATTGAATCGTGCAGCTAAAATAATAATAATTTTGTTTCAACGGTTCTTACGTTTTGTGATTAATATTCAATACTATTTATTATAATAAAAGGCGATCTTTTTTCTATTATTGAAAAACAATATCCGAGATATAAAACATGTTTTGGTGAATTTCTTAAGTATAGAAAAAGTTTAAGCCGTAGGTCTCGTGGTAAGAGCAGGACCCGGGACCGAGTTACTTTTTCGTTTTGTGGTCCTCAGAGGTCAAAAACATCTGGCATTTAAGTGAATATGTATGTGTGCCTGTTATCACTCGAGCAAGAACAATCAAATTTTTATGAAATTTTGTATTAATGTGTAAATCTACATTTTAATCAAACGCATTCACGAACCAGCATTCTCGGACTAAGCTAACAAGGGTTTATGTGTGTTTTATAAGTTAAAGATTTGTTTTATAATTTTTTTACCCGAACAAAATTGCAATCAACTTCTAAATTGCGTGTAAACACAAATAATTTACTTTATTGAATCGTTGTTATCGAGATAATGGTTAAGAATAAAAAAATACTATAAATTAAAAAAAAATTAAAAAAATTACTTTATCTCATGGACAGAACTAAATAAATGTCAGTTCGCATGTTATATAATACGTTTTTGGTCATATTTAAAAAAAGGTATTTATTTTCAAATAAATTATCAACATATCGCAAAAGCATTGCATAACCTTCCCTGTAGCAAACCTATGTCCTCGCTACACAAATATTATTTAAATAGGGAATAAATATTACTTTTGTTTAGGGACGCATAACTATGGTTAAGAAGTAAAATCCCAAAAAAAAGGAATTTTTTAAGATTATTTTCCTATTCTTATGGACATTACGAGTAAATAAAATGTTATTTTACTTATTTGATTGACTTATTTGATTTGACTTGATTTGATTTGACTTATTTGACACAAAAGGTGCTATAGCTCACAGTAGGCCAGCTTGACTTGGTTAACAAGTTTTCATATTTATTTCAACACAGGTTAGTAATTCACGTCAGTACACATCAGTGACTTGCCTAAAATACGTTCATATTTATTTAAAACCGGCCCCAATAGTGACATTTGTTAATTATTCCAATGTTGCTTTGTTGTCAAGATGAAGCTGTTATTGTTGTTCACCCTTGTTGCTTTGGGCTACGCAGGCAAAATCCTCTACTCTAAGGAGGACGAGTATCAATGGGAGCTCTTTAAGGTAAGGCTTCTTAATATAACTTGATCAAAGAAAATGTATAATTTTCTTGTTTTTTTTGTTTGCGTCAGAGATAGATATTATGTAAGAAAGATTAAATGGAGATGTTGATGAAATAATTAAAGTTAGTCCATACCTCTTTGGATACTAAATAAAGCTTCTTTCGGGTAGACTTTCAATCCGTATCCGTTGGCACAAACAACCGAATGAAAATACCGATCGATATGTTGAATAAAAAATCGAATAATCGATATTTTTATTCGGTTGTTGTGCCAACAGATACGGAAATCTACACCTTCTTTCTATAAGTAGTTTCAAAGGGATCTATTCAGTCTAATTTATATAACTATTATATAGCTATTTATATAACTTAAACTAAATCTCCAATTTCAGATTGGATATGAAAGAGTATACGCTGATGAGGTGGAAGAGGAAGGTAGGAAGGCAATCTTCATTTGCAACCTTCACGATATCCGTGAACACAACCAAGCCTACGATCGAGGAGAAACTACCTTCACAGAAGGAATCAACAATTTCGCTGACTGGGTGAGATGTAAAAATATCTACTTGGTATATTGATCCTATATTTATGACATTAGGACTATGGTATGACCGTATGGGGATGGTTTGCTATTACGGGCCCTTAGTAATATCATAGAGTAATATCCTTAGTAATATCCTAAAGAGTGGAAATCCCTCAGAATTGATCAACTACATGCCAATCAGTATACTGCCGTCAATCGAGAAGGTGTTTGAGATGCTTGTTTTGTCAAGATTTAAGCCATTTCTAAGGCCGCTTATTAGCCACAGTCAGCATGGGTTCACTACTTCAAAGTCTACAGTTACCAACCTCCTACTAAAATAAAATAAATAAAATAGAAATAGGCTAAACGTTAGATATTTATTGCGGCCGTTTACGCTCACAGTACAGGTAATGAAGAAATTAATGTATACAAAATATGTCAGGCACATAATTTTTATATTTTTTTGTTTTTAAAACTGAAACTAGGAACTGGATTTAATAAGTTAGTCAGATATTTTATATTGAACACATGGTTGAACGTAAAATGTTATCAGGCATTATTTGAATAACGCAAACACATAGAAACCACTTTTTCAAGTTCTAAAGGACCCACAAGAGATATTACCACTCAAGCTCAATCTCCGAATTTTCAATATAACAATATTTTTCCATAGGCCTACTAGGTATGGGGATGGATAGTGAAAAGGAGAAAATCGAACTTTAACAAAAAAACATTTGCAAGATTCTCATTCGAAGATTTAGCATATCAATTTACTTTATTTGGGCCGTATCGATTTAATGTTGATTCACTATTCAGTCAATGGAATTTTATAAATGACTTAATTGTTTTTAGACCGAGGAGGAGATGAAAGGGATGAAGTGATACTGCCCGAGGAGAAGCAGAGCTAAGTAAAGAGGACTGCTGTTGGTGGAGGGTGTCTGGGGAAAAAGTCACGTCTGTATGCTTATGGTAAAATAGAACGGTCCAAGACCTGGTTTTGTTACTGTTTTATCTCCTTTTTGTTATTTACCATAATTTATTGTCATTAAAATGATGTTAGTCATGTAACTGAGTGCTGTAGACCTTTTTACATCCTTTATCCGTGGCCAAATGAAAAATAGTTCCTGGTCCAGAAATGATCTTGATTTTAATACGATCTTCAGTTTCATCTAAATTTGTGTCTAGATATCGTTGGTTATTTATTCGTTACTATTTGTCACTGGCATATACTGTAACAAAACAATAATAGAATGAAGGAAAGAGCCCTAATATATCCAAAAGATTTTGTTTATAAAAAAATATTAAATTACTGAGAGGCTTTTTGCACTATATTTGTTACCTTTACTGACTTATGTCTGAAGTGAGAGGTTAACAGGTTATCTAAAATATTTAATTAACATTGTGCTGAAAATTACAGAAACTATAGTTGCAAGAAATATTAAATTAAAACAAAGTGGTAAATTTAAGACACTAAACACTTTGAAATTCAGGTTTAAATTTAAGGTATTTAGTATTGAAAATTATGATGATAGTATGCATAGTAAAGTGCTTTAAATTATGGTTACTAATATATTAAAAATTACTGTTACTAACTGTCATGTTATTTAGTTTAAATATATAACTATACATCTGATAACTGAATTTTGGGATAGATTTTAAAATTACAATCCTTTACGCCGAGATATCCTCCCCGTGTTCAGTGATAAGGCCAACCTCGAACAGGATAACAAGTAGTTATACTTCACGTACAATATATTAATCTCTTATCGTAACCATACTTTAATACTTTTCAATGAAATGGCGACCATACAAAGTAGGTATTTTAAGCCAAGTATGAATGGAGTTGAGTGGTGCGATCTTGTAGTCTTTTTAGTAATAAAGGCCTACATATTCCTTATACACAGCTCTTAATTAATAATCCTTACAGCGAATGGCAACTAATGCACCTACAGCTTTTATAGTGGAATCTGGGCCACATTTTTGCCTTGGTATTAACGAATTGGTCTAATTATCATGATAGTACTGCGGATAGTCGTAGTACTCACTAGTGCGGACGTTAATCCACACCAGGGAGTATCGTATCAACACTGCATGCCTATTAATAATCCTCCATTGTAACTAGATCTCAATAATATATGACATGTCCTTCACAAGGACATATCCTTCAATCAGGACCAATATTAAAATGCATCTTTGGACTTAATCTGTTCTCATCGTCTCCTATCCAAATATGTTATACTTATCGAATGATCTTATCTCATGATCCTTGTTCATAATGTATTGTATTTCAATCACATGTTTAACCATACATCATTGGGATTAACAGTGTTCTCATGCAATCCACTAACAGATCGTGTTTAAGTCCACAAGATATAATTTATTCACTACACGATCTAATATCGAGTTTCTAATCCACAGATAATTGTTTTACTGGATTACAGTAGTGTGTGCCAACCTCCTGGGCAATGTGGTTTGCTTTTACAGTCTTAAAATGTTATATATTCAATGATTTAACTTAGGTGTAATGTCAACTACTCAATTCACAAACAAACATTTCTATGCGTGAAACCTTTTCATATCATGCAGCAAATACTAAAATCAAGAAAAATATTTAAGATAGTAACTCACATAAATTTATTTACAGATACACTTGTTGAAGATCATATTTTTTATTTCTTGTCCGTAATAAAGAATCTGTTATATTTTTTTTACTAAACCATGTCAGCATTGCAATATACAGTAATGCATGCAAGATTTTAATATTTGATCAATTATTATTATATTTAGATTTTTATAAAAAAATGGTGATACTGCAAAAACAGCAGATACTCTACTCAGTAATGGTGTCAGTTTTAAATGAAATTTGAATTAAGTTTTTATAAGAATAAAACCATAGTTTGCATCAAATGCAAGTAGATTTTCGATTCCTAAATTTAAATATATTTAACCCTAAACACCTAAGCCAAATGATGGGTTATCCGAATATAAATATTCATAATCTATGGAAATGTTATGTACTTATAGTCAATTTATGTTACAGCCTTCCTGTTACAGCGTCGAGTGCTAAAATATAGACGGTTATGCATTAACTTTTTCCTGCTTTATAGCATATTTACAAATGAATTATTTAACGAAATCAAAAAGTTATTTAAATAAATGAAATAAGCAACAATTTTTCAATCACATTTTATAGTGTCAATATTAACATTAAATATCCAAATGCTAAAATAATATTAAAGATCAATGTTGTATCCGTATTATGGTTGAGAAAACTTCGAACCGAAAACAGATTCTTACAAGGTTCAGTATAACATTTAACAAATTCAAATAATGTAGTTAGAAGAATAAAACTCATGACCGTTAACGAGTATAATAAACACAAACTATTATAAACAACAAAAACTGTATTTGAAATTAATTTAGTCATATGTAATATGCATGGTGTACATTGGACGCTCAAATACCAGTGCAGTGTCTGAAGAACTCTGCTTTAATCATGCACAAACAAACGACTACACAGTGTATTTGCTAATTGGCTTAGTACCATCCGAATACATAGGGGTTTGAGCTTTCTAACCTTACAAAGAAACCCTTTAATTGTTTGCAATCTTGCAAATTTAAAATTAGGACGAGTAAATATATTTGTAGTTGACGGAATAGTTTATAATTGATAAAATAAAATAAAGGAAGTTGACTATATACGTTTAAGATCAACGAATGACACACACTCAAATTACTAAATTCAATTCATTAATTCATTTCCAGAAGATTGTAGATGTACCATTCCCAAATTTTATTTTACAAATACATAATTAAACTGTGTTTTCTTAACAACACACTCAAGTAAATTTAACACATCTTTTAACACAAATCACGAATAACTAAGTCTACTTGTTTTACAATTTAGCTCTAAAATACGCTTTTCACTAATATGAAGAGTAAAATAGGTTGATGTATTTACTTGGAACATTCCAGTACTCATAAAAGTTCATTCTGTTTGCGCACAGACAGTATGTTGAAATAGAAAGGGCGAGTAAATGAGTACTGTAATGTGATAGTCAGCTAAATGATACATCGTTCTGCTGACTAATGACCTTTATCCTGGTAATTATACTTCTTTTAGCCTCCGTCCCTATGTACAGGGTGTCCCCGAACTCTACAAAAACAAGTTTAATTTATAAAATTGTCGATGAGTAAGGTTGCTATTTATTAGTTAATCTTTAAAATCAATTCTGCATTATCTAACACATAATTCCTTAGTTCATCTATAATTTATTAACACACTAATTTTAGACATCTTTTTCAATATTAAAATAGGTATAATGCGCATACTTGTACAAGAAACCAATGGACTTTTTCACTTATAAATTAATGCAGGCACTGGCAAGGAAACGAGAATTTAATGAGTCTTCTTGTGAAGATTAGATTATCTAGACTAACGCGAACCTATTACAGTCTGTTATCTCAAGTGTAATATTACTTAACAGAATGAAATAACATTGATCTAATACTTATAAAACATAATTGCTGTTTTAATTTCACTTAGCACACACTTGGAGTAAAAAAGTCCATGAACGAAAATTGATATAGTTACCTTCCCAATGATGAACTTTAAAAAACAATAGTGACCTAGCGAAAACATTTTTCTTAAATCTATTATCCGTTATATTATTAATAATTTTTATATAAAAATGTTTAATTTTCTTGTTATAGTATTAATTATTTAAGTATAATCTTCCTTATATTTCCGAAGTACATAGGGGTTCATCGTGGTCCATTGATAAATATAATGTAATATAAAAATCTCTTTTAAAATTAAAGTTTTATGTTTAATAGGAAGGTCATTATTGTTATGTTATCCTGGGTAGTCTATATTTAAAAACTCAAATACTAAAAAAAAAAAATTTAAAATATAATACCTCTCATGCTTACAGGAACTTCTCAAAATAGTATTTCTTTTGCAAATATTCCGTAATTCAATTTAGTTAAAAAAATTTGTTTCTTGACAAAAAATGGGTTAGTAACGTTAGTTTGTTTTGTAAAAAAACAACGACTGACAGTTATACAAACAGAAAACTCCATAGTACCTTCTTCATTGTTATCATCGTCTTAGTCACCTCGGTTAAAATTTGTCATTAGTGGAGTACCTAATTCACCATTGGGTCTATCAAATCCCGGGTACAATATGATACAATTAACATTCTATTAAGCCTGAGGAAGGAGCTGGTCTAGGGGTAGAGCGGGGAACTTCAGTCTCCAAAGTCGAGGTTAGTAATACTGGCCTGTCTAACGGATTTTTCTCAGTGATAATGTCACGACATCTATAGACCTAGCATGAAGGACTGTGGAAGACAGTTTTGGGCTAGAACGGTGAAGATTAATTAAAATAAAACCCCTTTAAAACCTAAAAGTTGTAAATGAAAGCGTATATTTCCACAACGGGCATTATTAATTTTGATATTTCCCAGATGCAAATTTAATATCGTAAACGTTAATAGCTCCGAGTCCAAGATAAGGGATATAGATACCATTAATTGTTAAATGGCTAATTTGCATGACTCCGAGCATTTGCTGCCTTTACGACTTGTCATGTTGAGGGTTTATGTTTAAAATTGCCATCACTATTTTGTTTTAATTCTTCAGGAAATAAATTTACATAATAGTATATTTGTATACATTTATATCTTTATTGGTTTATACGACACTATAAATTCATGGCGTGTATAGGTGATACAGTAAACCCTTGATAACAAGACTCTTATGGGGGTTGTAAAATAAGACTTGTTATCATGGTTGACTTCTTAGCAAAGTTTGTAATTACATGTGATAAGGGGTCAAATAATTTTAAGGGGATTTGACAATGACACTTGTTATCAAGGGTGACTTGTTATCGTAGGTCTTATCAAGGTTCCACTATATAAAAAAAATCCGTACGAAATTATATATTATTTATGGGGTAATATATCCTTTTTTTTCAAGAGAGCACAGTTTTTTACATAATCACCTAGTTCCTCTACTGTAATTTTTATTCAAGTGTTTAATTTAGTACTCGTAGAACATTAAGTTTA